AGGCGGAGGACATCATCGAGTACGTTGGATAGAAAGGGAGTGCCTCGATCGGTGATTATGTATTGTGGAGCTCCATGGCGCAGCAGTATCGAGTGGATAAAAAAGTTTGCGACTTCGGGGGCGGTAGCGGCGGGAACGGAGGCCGTCTCGACGTAGCGTGTTAAATGGTCACTCGCAGCAAGTATCCACTTGTTGCGAGTGAATCGGGGAAAGGGACCAAGGAAGTCAATTCCGATGCGTTCAAATGGGAGGTGTGGTTGGGGAAGGGGTTGTAGGCAACCTGGAGGCTTTGTGGTAGGACGTTTCTTGGTCTGGCAGTGGTGGCACGCTCGAACGTACTTGCTGATGCTGCGGGTCATGCCGGTCCAAAAGTAACTGCCTCGGATGCGAAAGTAAGTTTTAGAAAATCCAAGGTGGCCAGCTGTAGGGTCGCCATGGTTTGCTTGGATAAGATCCTTTTGTAGTCGGCGGGGAATCACTAAAAGCCATGGCCTTCCTTGTTGTGTGTCGTAGTTTCGCCTATAAAAAATGCCATCTCTGAGTTGAAAAAGGCGGGCACGGCGCTGAATTTGCACAGAAGGATGCGGCAAAGCACCTTCAAGGCATTGAATAATGGGGTGCAATAAGCAATCGAACCGTTGCTCTTCTGCAATGTTGACGGAGCTCAGGACAGCAGTTGTGTCTTCGTGGGCGGAGGGGTTCGACCATTGCGACCCATGGGGAAGGGGGCATCTGGAAAGGCTCTCAGCATCAAGGTGTCGTTTTCCAGATTTCTAATGGATCGTGTAGTTATAGTCTTGGAGTTTCAGGGACCAACGTCAAGTCTTCCTAAAGGGTCTTTTAGGCTGGCTAACCAGCAAAGGGCGTGATGATCGGTTACAATAGTGAAGTGTGTGCAGTATAGGTAGGGACGGAACTTCGAGATTGCCCACACAACGGCCAAGCACTCGCGTTCAGTTATGGTATACGTACGTTCACTTTTCGTGAATGTACGGCTGGCGTAGGCGATTACTCGCTGGACACCGGAAATGTTCTGGGCCAGTACGGCGCCGAGGCCATGGCCACTGGCGTCTGTACGTATCTCAGTGTCAGAGCCAGGAACGAAGCGACCGAGCACTGGAACAGTCGTTAGGGCGCTTTTCAGGGCTTGAAAAGCATTGCTTTGAGGGCGATTCCATTGCAAAGCGGTGTTGTTACGGAGTAGCGTGTTGAGAGGTTCAGCGATGTGGGAGAATCCGGGTATAAATTTTCTGAAGTATGTGCAAAGGCCGAGAAAGGACCGAAGGTCTTTTAAATTTTTCGGAAATGGAAATTCGGAAACAGCTTGTAATTTAGATGGCTCAGGGCGAATGCCATCTGCACTAATGATATGACCGAGGACCTGAATTTGGCGAGCTGCAAAGATACATTTTTTGTGTTTAGTTGCAAATTGGCGGTGAGAAAGCAATTCAGCACTTCTTGTAGCCTCTGCAAGTACTGGTTGAATGAGGCGGAGAAAACAATTACGTCGTCGAGGTAACAAAAGCAGGTTCTCCACGTGAGACCCCGTAGCACAGTGTCCATCATGCGTTCGAATGTGGCAGGCGTATTGGGCAGGCCAAACGACATCACATTAAATTGGTATAGGCCGGAGGATGTAACGAAAGCAGTTTTTGGCTTGTCGGCGTCGGCCATGGGTATCTGCCAATAACCGCTTCTGAGGTCCATAGAAGAGAAGAATGATGATCCCTGAAGAGTGTCGAGGGTGTCGTCGATTCTGGGTAAGGGATAGACGTCTTTAGTGGTGATCTTGTTAAGTCGACGGTAATCTACACAAAATCGCCATGATCCGTCTTTTTTCTTGGTGAAAACAACAGGGGCCGACCATGGGCTGGATGAAGGCTCGATTATCTTTCTTTGGAGCATATCCCTGACGTGATCGTTGACGGCCTTACGTTCGGTGGGTGAAATTCTATAAGGGCGGCTTCGAATGGGGGATGCTGTGCCGGTGTCAATGTGATGAGAGACTACCGAAGTTTGAGCTAGAGAGCGGCTATTGAAATCGAAGAGTTGTTCATACGAAACAAGAAGCATTGTTAGGGCTTCCTTCTGGGGAGAAGGCAAGCTAGAGTCTACCATTTTAACAACTTGTGCGGCGGTGCTTTGGGCAGCTGACGGTAGTCTCGTAGGTGTAAGTTCGGAGAGTGCTGCAAGCGTGGTTAATGAACGAGATGTTAGAGTGGCCAAACGCGCACCACGGCGAACAATTTGCGATTTGTGTTGGTGACGAAAAGAGAAACTTGTCCTTGAGTTGTTGTGGCGATGCAGTAGGGAAGAATAACTGGCTTTTTTGCGACAAAGCCGGCGATGGGTTCAATGAAACCAGTGGTGCTTTCGAGTGGACGGTCCGGCAGGAGTGTGATAGCAATAGCGGAAAGGGGGGGCAAGAGGTAATCGTCGTTGGTGTGAAGCAAAATGGGTGAATTTTCCTACACGTCGTGACTAGTCTGCCGAGTGTTCAAATGAAGTTCGCGGCTGGCGCAGTCAATGAATGCTTCGGTGGCCGACAAAAAATCCCATCCCATAATGACGTCGACGACATAATTAGCAAGTACAGTAAACAAAATCATATAGGAAGTGCCTCCGATAGAAATAGGGATGGTGCAGTAGCCAAGTGGTTGCACAAGTTCACTGTTTCCCATCCGTAGAAAATGTCCAGCGGGTGTAGGGGTGAGCACTTTGTGTAAACGGCGGCGAAGCTGATTAGAAATGCAGGATTTCGCAGCACCTGTGTCAACTAACGCTAAAAGTTTTTCTTCTCCAATGTAGACGGCAATAGTTGTAGGGCCAAGGTAAGGAGGATTTATGACCGGAGACGGTAGTGCAGCCTGACCTCCATCGTTAAGACAGGCTGCGCTGCTTAGTTTGACGACGGAAGTGCGGCAGTAGCGTCAGTGAACGGCGAGACGGAGCGGTTTCGTCGAGGATAGGGGGAGGGGGATCGACCACGTCGGAATTCAGCAGCTGGAAAGGAACGTGTGTTGCGATGATCGTCAAGACTGCGGCGGTCGCTGGAACTGCCGTGGTTGTCGAAATTTCGGCGCTTGTCATGGTCGTCAGAATGTCGAGTTTGATTCTGCGGGATGCGACTGTAGGCTTCGGCATTCATGCGGCGTCGGCAGTAGCGGATGATATGACCTGGGGCGTGACAGTAGAAGCATATCGGACGTTGATCTTGAGTGAGCCATTCCTCTGTCCGCCGGGGTGATAAGTAGCGTGTGTATGGAACTGAGGCGTTGTGAGAAGTTTGCAGCGCGCAAATGTGTGGTGCGGAGTGCTGTAAAGAGCAGATGGGTGGTGAGGAAGTCGATGGTGCCATGCATGTGGTAGACGACGAAGAAATAGGACGAAGGGCAGCACGAAGTTCGTCTTTGATTACCTGTTCAATCTTAGGCGCCTCGGGTTGCGAGATCGAAGAATTCGCTGAGAGGCGCAGGGATCCCAAGAAGTCGCGTAGTTCGTCTCGAATTATTCGCCTGATGAGATTGGGAAGGTCGGTGTCGGCAGTTATAGTTGAAACTTCAGGGAGCCGTTCAAATCCGGTGTTGGAGATCCGACCACTTTTAAAGTCTTCATAATGCTTGCATTCTGCAATGAGCTGCTGCACGGTCTGAGGTGACCTGGGTGCGACGATGGAAAATAGCTCTTGGGATAATCCTTTGAAGAGGTGCTTGATTTTTTCGTCCTCCGGCAAAGCTGCGTTCACACGTCCGCAGAGGCGAAGGACTTCCTCAATGTAGGACGTTGATGTTTGGGGGGGGGGGGGGGGGGGGGGGGGGGGGCTTGGTACCTCCTGGAGAGTTTGTCCCGCGCTTGTTGTCTTCTGCGTTCAGGTGTGCCGAAGACGTCTGCGAAGGCGGTTTTGAACGCATCCCATGAATTAAATTCTTCCTCGTGATTGTCGTACCATTGGAGTGCAGTCCCCTTGAGGACAAATACGACGTTGGCGAGTTTGATGGTGTCGTCCCAGCGGTTGTGTTGGCTCACCCGGTCGTAATTTTTGAGCCAGTCCAGAACGTCAGCGTCGGCTGAACCGGCGAAATCCTGGGGGTCACGTTGGCGAGTTTTAACCGTTGAAGTGTTGGTGGGGCGCTGGTCTCTGACATTCCCGATATCGTCGTTCAAGGTTGTGACAATTGACCGTCCGCTGCGCAGCTCCAGGTCGGAATTACCAGATGATCAGGTTGGGGATCGCTAGCGCACCTCAAAGTGTTGAGACGTTGATAAAGGAGGTTTAATAGAAGATAGGAGGAAGATGGGACCAGTATGAATGGCGGTACAGTATTCAAGAAGCGCTCGTGCCGAGCGCGCGCTTGGTAAAACCCCTGCCTGTCTGTCCGTGCCACTTCTTCTTCCTTACAATATATATGTATATATATATTTCTCAGATTGTTTAGTACGGTGTATCCCAAAATCGAAATACCTTAAGAGAGGAGCAAGAGGAGGAGGAAAGGAGGGGAGGAGTAGGAGCAGAGGACGAGGGGAGGAGCGCGGCAGGAGGAGAAGAGGAGAGGAGGAGGAGAGGGTACGAAGGCGAGGGTCATACCCTCGCCTTCGTACCCTCCCCTCCTCCTCCTCAAGAGCTGCGCTCTAATTCGGCATTACAGAAAGTTGTAAACGCCTTTCATGATTTTCCACCCGCATCTATCAGTAAATGGTATTCCGGGTATCAGCTCTAAACTGACCCATTTATTTTCAGGTTGTTCTTTAGAGTCCACTAGCAATAATTGGTAATCCACGTGCAAGGTAGCCGCCGCCATTTTTTTTAATATTGAGGTTTAGCCGATGTAGCTTTTGCATGTTTAAAAAAATTATATAACAGGTAAAGTTAATCAATAGCGGATTTAGGAACATTACCTTGTTTTAAGCTCTAAGTTACGTTTGTTGCTAACATCTGCATTATGCACAGCCTACAAATATAAGAGACATTAATTAAAACAGTCGGGCAACTAAATACTTACCAACGCGCTTGTTTCCTCATTAAAATAGGGTAAATGTTGACTTCTGCAGTTATCTGAATCCCGGGAGTTTATTAAAGCCCCCGGAGGCAGTGTTGTATCTTCCGTTTCCTTGGCTGATGAAGCCGACTTGTATTCTTTATAAGAAAGAAAGAAATATATCAGATTATGATTATTGTCGGCCGTCATGCACAAGTTTGCATGCTCAGTGTGAAATAACAAACCAGATTGTTATTACTTGAGCCGTATCGCTCTTGTTATGATAGTAATTATAATCAATCGATCGACATATCAGTGTTTATTATGATGTCCAGGAACAACTATCGGTTCTTTGTGCTGGCACACCACAATGAAAAAAAAAGAAGAATTGTCTGCAGGAACGACTATTGTTGGTTGTCTATGAATTGCGATAGCATTCGTTATGAGACTCGCGACAGAACTCACTATGAATACGACGACGGAAATTTTAAGTAAACACTTTATTTTATTAATGGTTTAAGACGTAGTTATTTACGCCAGCGCGGCTGCAGCGCCCCACTTCAAAATTGAGTGATTACTTCGTCTTCGTATAATCGTTTAATGTTCAATTTGTTTTACCACCATAATAGACCATGTAACAACTAGGTCAACTGAAACCGATAATTGCTTCGTAGCTTGGGCGCAAATTTGAATGCGTGCATACTGCCGCTCCTGTATGCGCGGCGCGGGTTTATCTGCTTTCGCCGCAGCCACGAGTGATTGCTTCGTAGCTTGGGCGCAAATGTGAATGTGTGTGCGCGCTCCGTGTCTACGCGGCGCGGGTTTACCTGCTTCCTAGGACGACGTCGAGGAAGACCTCCTAGAAGACGACGTCAAAGACGACCTGTAGGACGACCTCACGGACGACGTCTAGGACGATGTCCTAGAGGACGACGTCGAAGACGAAGTCTAGTATGACCTCTTGGACGACCTCCAGGGTGATCTCAAAAAGGATCTCTTAGACGACTTCTAGTACGACCTCAAGGGTGACGTCCTAAAGGATGACCTCAAAGACGACGTCTAGAAGGACCTCTTGGGCGATCTCAAGGACAACCTCTAGGAATACCTCAAGGACGACGTGTAGGACGACGTCAAAGACGACGTTTAGGACGACCTCTCGGACAACCTCAAGGACGACATCTAGGACGACGTCGAGGACAACGTTCGCACACGCACGAAGCCTGCGTATGCGGCTGCGGCGCATACGAGCGCCTTGCATACGCATACGCACTGTGCATACGCACAGCGCATTCGATGCCAGACAGTGTATGTATCGATAGAACCGGATGAAGTAGCTAAAGAAAGCTATCGCGTTAAAAAGAAACACATACACACGCTGTGGGCACCCTGGCGGCTCCCCAGCCCAGCTGCCCGACTGCGGGGCACAGGTGGCGAACTGTCCCGCGTGGCGGCGGAATCAAGCCGGCCACGCGAACATCACGAGCGCCGCCTTGATAAGGCGGATCAGAGGCGGCGCACAGGCAGTCGCTGGCTGGACTCAAGCGCCGCCGGTGATCGTTGATAAATATGTTAGCATTAAAATCGTCCTTGTACCATAAAAAGTATAGTTTCTTGATGTTGAAGCCGTTGGTTCCGTTTTATTCATCTAGGTCGGGTATGCAGCAAGGCAAACCGACTACAACGCACGAAAACACACACTTGCACAAAAAGAATGGAAGTGCAGAGCAGGAACGCCGTCCGCATGTCTGACACTAACATATTATACAATCAAAGGTCAGTTCAAGCTCAAAAACAAACCGACCACACAAAAAAAGAGAGACGCGAACAAGGAATTCATGTTGTAAGCAACTAGAAAAGAAAAACAATTTTGCACTGATTTATAGATACTTATAGGTACAATTGCAGCCCCAGCAAAAAAAGAAAAAAAGAAAAGTTGCGTGTCATAGCAGAGATTTCAAAACTCAGCCGAACAATGAATTGGGTTTAATTGATTAAAATGTCCAGATATATAAAAGAATAGCTGAAGCTGTGCGGGCACACATGGAACTCTGACTCACATCTAAAAGCAGGCTGGGAAAGTCAATCAAGCCGTGCAGTGTCGTATTAAAAAAATTGCAAGTCCGCTTTCACACAACACTGGTGCAGGCTCATGATGTTGATATAATTTTTTAATCAACTTCCCAGCACGGTCAGTGTACTCCTTTCTTTAGATAATGATGTTTGAAGATATATATAAATTGTTTTGAACTCTTTCAACTCTCAAGGACTTAGTTTAGGAAATGCGACAGAGGCAGAGGCACACTCTATCTGAAACTTAACTAGTGAATGAAACAAAGTTAAAAAAATGCGTACGAGTTTGTAAGCTTTTTCGTTATGCGAGATGCGGCATCTAACATCTGTAGAGAGGCGTGAACCACCCTGTTTACGTGACTGTCATATCTCAGAGTCGATGCAAACACAACCCCAAGATCCCTGACTTCCCCTTTTCGTGACACCTGTTCACCATCGAAGCTAGACGCGAAAAAGTTATTTTGCGTCTTACGAGGGAACATTATTACTTTGGTATTCGAAGGGTTCAAGCGGAGGTAATTTTCAGAGCAGCACGTGTAAAATGAACGTGTCTTCCTGGAGCATAGTGCAATCTTTTCCTCATTTATTTTTTTTTATGTCGTAGGCGTATTGCAAAAATGAGAATTTTGAAATGACACGAGAGACATTATTTACAATAATAATAATAATAATAATAATTATTATTATTATTATTCATCAAAGATTAGAAACACAGTAGAAATATGAACAATAAGGAAGAACAGACGACCCAATGCGCTAACTTGTTCGTGGGCAAAAGCACAGCAAGGTTTACAAAGATTCAGCCTAACTCGCCTAACAGTCAGAATTTATCTAGAAATGCGGGTCTGTCCAAGCCAAAGGAGGTTTGTGGGGCAGTGCAAATAGTATAAATAAATTGAAGAAACAGATGTGCAGATATACTACAATGATGTACTAGTTATCACTTTCTTCAAATTCTGCGGATTAAAGTTCATTTATATTTAAGTCTCCTATTCGTCAACATTTTTTTTTTATTCCTTCGTGTATTGTCACTTAACACGCGCTCTGGAAATGTATGAAATATGAAAGGTTCGTAATACGAATGTACGCATTTACCACAACACGGAAAACACATGGACTGTACGAAAAAAGCGGCGTGGCAAGTTTTTTTACAAGATTATGCGACATTTACAATCATCACGCCAAAGGTGAGGATGCAACACCGTTTACACGAAAAGAGAATAGGAATTCAGGAGCTGCAGAGTTTAAAAATACTTGTTTCAGTTGAACAATCAGTGTACACAACTCTTAATTCAATGGTAGCTTAAAATTGCGATGCGTTTTATTTTTTTATAACTGCGCAACTACCCGACAACAGTATCACATATGAGTACTCTGTACCCCAGAGCTTATGCTATAAGTAATCTTCAAGATAATAGCATAAACACTATGTAATTACTATTTAAGGAGTAAAAAGCAAACACCCCGATGTTTTCTAGACACATCCAGGGTTGGCAGGTAGGTCCTAGCTCAAACCACCAAATGCCAGATGGTGTAGCCCAGAAGTAGCCAAATGCAAGACATTTATATTGCCAAAAAGTAGCCATATTTAATATATCTATAGAGCCCAAACCATCGTGCGATCGAATGTACGAGCTCAAGGCAAATACTCTGTGTGTGCATATCTAGGGTTTAGGAGAAGCTTGGAAGATCTATGACATATTGAAATGTATTGAAAACGTTTTTTTAAAACACAAAAAAATACAAAATCTTTTCACACGCGTTTTACAATCACATACTTATGAAACATTCCCTCGCGCTTAGCTGACTTGCCTCATACATGATTTCCATGTTAAAACAAGTAAACAATTCTTTGGTAGGGTTGATGTCCTAACAGCACTCGTTTTTCAAGGAAAGCAAACGTTACATTGATGATGTTTTGAAGAGTTGGAAGGGGCATCCTGTTCCTTAGGTCCGACTTTGTGAGGGACACGCGCCTGAATCCTCTCTTCGCGACGGCATTCGACATGGACAGTGTCAAGAGCGCGATTTCAAGATCGGATAACAACGGAAAAATGGCTGCTCCTGTGCTTTAAACTTGTCCTTGTTCGAATTATGAACTGTTCTAAATATGTTGTCTTATGTTATGGCTCATTGTGCTTTAAGAAATTTTTATATTTCGCGGAAAACCCTCCTTTGATATATCAGGGAAAGCCCTCCTTTGCTATATCAGGACGACATCCCATTCTGCTGGATGTCTTGAGTTACATTTTTTGTTCCTCCGGATAGGTGTCTCCTGGAGGAGGATGGTAGGAAACTCGAGGAAATCAGAGACGCCAATAGGAAGCAGAAAGAACTTGGGAGCATAAGATAAGCCACAACGAATACAGAACCGACATCTTCGAGCTGAATCTAGGTCACGGTATAGCTAATATGTTCTGGCGTCACGCCCACGCATTTTCACGCAGAAAATTTCTGAATTCGGGAATCCGGAAAAAGTGGGCTGCCACTTTGTATTTATGCTGGTGTGTCTTTAATTAAATCTATCTACTCTAAATTAAGAAGAAGAAGAAAAAGATTCCCGCGTTACGATTTGAAATACAGCCTTAAAATAGCCACATAGCCAAACGCTATATTTCGGCGTAAAATGCGGTACAAAATAGCCCACTTCGACAAATATTAGCCCAGCCTGGTAACCCTGGCATTACAAATCGAAATTTTATGACAAGTCGAAGTGAAAAGCGTCTTAAAACGCTTCATATAATCAACATATTTCAGGAGACGACTTTTACCATCTAATCTATTTCATTAAATATCACGAGGGTCTAGCTCGTCTAGGTGCACTTTCTCCACTTGATTTGTGAAGCAGACCAGTTGTTTGCTACGCTTGCGATTATAAAGAGGTGTCCTTTTCGCCCGCAATGTGCGCAAAAGGAAAAGCGATAGCTGTACCACCTTCGCGGTACTCGGGATCCTCACGTCCCCGTGTACGCGCCTCTGCTTCGCGCTGTCGTACATGCGTTGAGCATGCACGCGTACCCACGTAGAACATGCACGCGAATCCGGACGTATTTATTGTCTTTGTTAATATTTTTTTTATGCTACTCCT